TACCTACCATTAATTAGATCATAATTACATTTGGGTTATTGGCATTCTGTCTCAACCTTCGCTAACCAGCACGCGTGCGGGTCAATTAGCTTCCAGTGGTTTCTAGTGGGCGGACGGATGTACTGTAGCAACAGAACTAGACCTCCTAAGCACACTGCTATACATGGCAGAGCCTTACTTTGCACAAGTTGCCTACCGAATTGTTACAACTTGACTATTAAAACTTCGTAAGCTAAGTAAGGTTTTCCAGAGGGAAATATTTGCGCAAAGGGGTGTGCGATAGACTTACCTCCACATGGTGCACCCTGGGCAACGTATATCATACGGTAAAAAAGTTTATTAACTGGCAGTTGACTTCTCACTTCAAACTTCCGTGACCCCCTGGCTGTCATATTCGACCCCTTTCACAGTACTCAGCTTACCTTTTCTCTACCTTTGTGTCTGTCTGCCTCTTTTACATCTGTGAATCGCTCTTCTGTTCCCCACCCCTCAACTTTCTTCTACTTTGATGAACCTTCCCTCTGTGAAGCCCGAAGTCAGCTAAATGGCTAATGATAGCTATCAAAACGCCTGCCATTTGAAATAAATAAATAAATATTTGCGCAAAGAGAACATGATAATCAGACGCTGATGTCCGAACGAGATTTATCTGCCTCTATTCGCTCTAATTAAATGAGGTGTGCCATCTACGCCAAAACGCTTTTGTCGGTCAGTTGGTTTGTTTCAAATGACCAAAACTTGGACAGTTACTCTCGAAGGGAAGCATTTATTCTGCTCAAGTTTCGGTGGAATATGGTTGCTTCATATGAGTACAAAAGAAACTGGACTGTTTCATTTATAGAGAACCTAAGTTTAAGCGTTTCTTTCCTTACTGCGACAATTTTTACTTATCTCATTATTCCCTGTAAACGAGAATAAAAATTGAGATTTCCTTCATATTTTGAGTCAAGGTGTACCCTAACCCTAATTGTCTACTCAATTGGTCTAAGCTGACACAGGAGCTGAGCGTGTACGCATGCTAATGGGGATGACAGACGAGCTGGAAACTATCTCTTTGGAATTGGCTATTACGAGATTAAAAAACGTTCCTCTAACGAACATATTTGAATGGATGTCGAACTTTTTAACCTTTTAATGCGAAACATTGATTGAAAAATGTACCCAACTCCACTCACTCGTGCCTCACAGCAGAGGGACATAGACGTGACGAGTTTTGGTGGTATCAGGAGAAGGTTATTGATGTACCTAGCATGCTCTAAACGGCAATGTTGCCTTCGATTACGCGTCTAGTACCAATGGAGCTTTTTTGAAAGATGACCGCACGGTCCTAAGGGCGTTAATGGGCTATTTATAAAGCCGTTCTGTAAATAATAAAGCGACTTTGCCCGACCTCATGCTTCAGGATGCTGCTTTCTAAAATTCGCATTTCTTGACAATAGTCAAACGCATCTACAAAGGAGGTTCTCTTTTAACAAATGAGTGCACGAAAACATTTCACCTGCTTAATCTATTATTCCAATTTCATTAGCCAATCATTTTAATCCATCTTCCTAAATAGTAATTTCGATTGGATTGGAAAGTTGGCGTTGACTTCCCCTACTGTGTGTGATTCATTTTTTGGCGAATTTTGTTTGTATTTTGTCTTCTCACACGACCGATGCGAAATGAAGAATCAAGGAGGAAGGAAGTTGCAGAAATAGTAACTGCTAATTTTGCCAAGGCCGACTTGAATTCCGCTGCGAGAAAAAGAACAAGGCAACACAACACAAAAGAAACGTAATAGTATTCCGTTGGGTGATTAATCATAGACCTTGGCAGGCTGACTCAGACGCGGAGAGAGAGAGAGAGACTTCACCTCGTTCTACTTGGACAAAGTTAATACTGCTGAAGGGACAAGCGCAACAAAAAGTGGTGTTTTTGAAGTGCATCTTCCTTTCCAAATGAAACAAAGCACATAAAACGGCTAGATAAATTGGTTTTCGAATGATTAAATGGTTATAATGTGCATAAGAAAGATTCGTCTATGATAATAAATTTAAAACTTTAATTGTTTGGAGTCTGTTGGAATGAGTTAGCAGATGAAATGGTTATAGACAATCTTGCTAACTTAGGGGACTTACTCCTGACATGAAGATATCGATTAAGTGTGTTAACTCTTGACGTTTGAACTCTGAGGACACAACAAATAAATTGAAGAAGGCACGTTAATGATTCTTCTCCAAAAAAGGCTGAACTCACAAGCCAATGAGAAGATGCTTGTGAAGTCAGCGCAATCGTGAGCCTCGTCAACTCTTTGCCAGCAATTATTATAATTGAGGTTTCTCTCAATTGAACATTAGGGACAGCGTTCGTTGAACAATATCTTCGTCCGTTGTTTTTTTTTGAAGCAACTTTCCTTTCGCCTCTAAAAACGCTCCCATTCACTTTCAACTGACTTGACGTTAATGTAAGGACTTAATGAAGCATAGCCAGTTGTTTTTTTTGCGGTCAAATAGTAATAAATTAATTGATAAGTTTTAATAAAAAGCCTTGTTTGAGAGCAAAGTTATGTTCTCGAAGGGCAAAATTCTCTTGTACTTTTAAACAGAACCGCCGCGTAATTTATCCGAAATTAAGAGCAATTGACAAATCAATTGAGCAAGTTCAATTAAGAGCCCCCACGGTATTATTTTAAATAGATATCAGTTACAGACAAAACAAAACGTCAAACTAAGGCGAAAGACAACGAGGTAAGCAAAATCCTTCCAGGTATAGTCACTACCCAACCCACAGAAATCCTTCGAAGGAGGAATTGGAAGTATTAGCGCACCGCTTGCAGCCATGTCTCGACAAGAGGCATTATGCTTTTGATTGAACAAAGGGAATAAATTCTCTTTGCAAAAGAACTTTGACTTACAAAAAAAGAAAAGTGATTAGCCTCCCTCCACTTTGCTATAATAAAAAAGCTAAGATTTGAATCTCCCCCTCACCCCCTCACCCCCTCCCCCGACGCATTGAGATAGGTCTATGCGACATGACCACATCCTATGAAAAAGTGAAAATCAAAGGAGCGTATTCCAAATTGTGCGGTAAAATCAGTTCATGCTATCCATAAGCTCCTAGAGTAATGAGTAATCCATTTTAGGAAGTAGACCATTATTGAACACTAGGTGCGCTACTACTAAGGCTCCTCGATCTCCTTACATTTTCCTCTTGGGGAAAGACAGCTGCGTATTGACTTCAAGACAATCAGTTGAAAGAGAGAATAAATCGATTTGGAGATTCAATAGCATGATAGGTTTGCACTTCGAATTAGCTGTTGATAAGAGGCGAATATTACTGTAGTGATCATGAGGCACATCCTATTAGCAGACGTGCAATAAACAGGGATTACCGATGGAACAGGAAGAGTACCGATTTCTAATCAAATAAACCCGAAGATACCGATTCTCATTTTCTCATCTTCAATTGGCTTGAGATTAAGTTATTGCTTTCAACCAAAGACCTCTTTCTTGGCAGTGATAAAGTACAGAATAAAGCAATAAGAGCTAGTTGTTATTATTATTAATCAAAATATCACCTTAAAAACAAATGAAATTGTCGTCCTGTAAATATGCCTCTGTAGATGGAATATATATTTCAAAATGTAGAGTATCTAACTATGCCTACGTACTATTAGGATAGTTTAAATGTAAAGCAACTTCTGGCGCAAATAAATTTGGATGAACTGCTATAAAAAACCACGCCATTCAAATACCACCACGCTTGAATCACGCTGCCAAAAAATTTAGATGTAAATCTAACCGCTAACAGACGCCATAGGGCCTTACTTTTGATTATAATGGATTACAAAACATGGAAACTTAAAATAAAACACAATACAACCACTTTTCAAATACCGTCAGCTTTTCATGTGGTTGATCCAGATATGATACCATTACGCCGAGAAATCGAAATGAAAAATTTTGTTGATAAAGCTTTGAAAGGTGTGTGCCTAGATAAAATGATACCAAAGGGTATTTCCAGAATTCGTATGGCCGTGCTGAATGATATTGACAAGATCATAAAAGACAAATCTATCCACTTCACTCGCTTTGAAATGGTAGCGATTCTCAATGTCTTCTACTCATTACTGGACTATCAGGTACGAACTATGAATAAATTAGAATTTCAAGATTTCCTTTATCTCACGTTGGGGATTACAAATATGGCGGTTTTGTCGGGATTTTGCCGAGCTGCAAGGAAGATATCTCAAAGAGGAAGCTTGAAAGAAGATGGAATTTTAGATGGTCCTACTTTCGTTAAGATGATGTCTATCCTACTACGTGGTACCATCGATGAACGAGCACTTTTGAGCTTTTACATTCTTGACGAAGATGGAGATGGTATTTTAAGTCCGAAATCTGACCTATCTATGTGTTTGATGGGCACCTTTAACCCTCACATCTCAGCTTCTGCACCTAATATTGATCCCGAAGAACCCAGTCGGGACACACTGAGGTACTTAATTAAAAAAATGGATATTACTACGGATAGTGGCATTGGAATCGAGGGTTTTATTAGGGAATGTCGTGCATCACCTTGGCTTGTCGATGGAATTTTGCCAACGTTGCCCTCCGAAACGTTCAATCGCGCCTTCCAGAATCTGGTGTCCCAAGCACCAAGGCTGCAACCAATAGAAAACAATATAGAGGAACCAAAGAAGGTTGTAAGAAAAAAGAATCCCAAACCATTGCATTAAGCGAGAGCTTTTGTGACACATATTACTGATATCATTTCAGTAGCAGACGGTGCATCCGAACAAAAGACTTCATTTAAAGCATCTGAAAAACTGTTTTCGAAATTGAAAGCGATCATGCTATTATTTCCTCGAATATATTATTTCCTCCTACATAACGTCAAGGATTAATGCTTATTTATATTTGACACCAGTAGACTGTTTAGTAAGTTGAGCATTACGCCTACTTGCTCTCCTACCTCTTTTCTTTGCTCAGTCGAAAGGAAATTTGCGTTGGTAAATCAATTTTTTTTCACTGTAAATGCTTTGCTTAGAAAATTCGCTATTACACTCATTGATTAAAACTGCATCAATAAAAGCAGACAATTTGATCTTTTGTTTATCTTCTTCCAATTCTGCCACGAGATCATTGGTCCGATTCAGTTCTACCCCTCAAGATAAAATTAATTTGTAACGAATATTTTTAACACGACATTAACACCAAAACTATCCTTCTGCTATGCCAAGAGGGAAGGAATGGCCACCCCCAAATTTAACATTACGTCTAAACAACCTCTTGACGTCTCAACCTTTCCGTTGATTTGACCACACCCCTTTTGCTGAAGTTGTCAACAAAATCGATTCAGCAAATAATGCCCACTTCATCGCACTCCACTATCAACTCCCAAGCGAAAGGTCAAACTATGCAAGCAGTACAAATGACTATAGGCCTTTTTTATTAAACCCGAGTCAAAATAATGGCAGCAAATGAGAAAATGAAAGAAGAAACGAGAATTACACTATTCGAAATCATAGGAAGTAGTTAAATATCAAGTAACAAAAACGGAACTACACACCCAATTGGAGGAATAAATATTTAAAAAAAGAAGAGCAAAAGAGGAAATCAGGTGGGTATTGTAAAATTATCACCAGAGATTAGTTCTAATTAGCAGCAATTAGTTTTGTGGAATACTTAAAATTACACGGGAAAGTTGATACTTAAAAAGATTTATATTAGGGGGGGGAGGGG